CTACTATCAAGAATGCGTACATGGGATTGCGAAGCCCACTCACTCTTTGGACTGCACTTAAGAAGTGGTTCAAAAAGTTGAAGTACACCATCCTGTCCAAGCAGAGCAGGACTAGGCTTGCCTGAGGTTCGCCGACTTCAAAAGCATCTCCGAGTACAAATCAGTATTGCACCGGATTTGTACCAACCTCTCCCTCTGTGGTAAGGTCGTCACGAACGCGGAGAAGACCGAGAAGACGCTCGTAACTATAGGGAGGCGTCAAACAAGGAGTATGACAAGATGATCGACATCAAGCAGGTGTCCAAGTTACGAGCATCTCATAATACTCCTTGTATGACGCCTGCCTGTAGTTACGAGCGTTCTCACGGCGCTAGGGTGGAAGGTGGAGAGCGTCTTCTCGATCTTCTATGCGTCCATGACAACCTTACCACAGAGGAAGAGGTTGGTACATATCCGGTGCAGTGCGGAGTTGTACTCTGAGACACTCTTGAAGTCGGCGAACCTCAGGCGAGCCCAGTCCTGCTCTGCTTGGGCAGGATGGTGTACTTCAACTTCTCGAACCGCTTCTTGAGGGCGGTCCAAAGAGTGATTGGGCTCTGCAATCCCATGTACTCATTCTTGAGCGTGGCGCAGAAGTGGTGTCGCGGGAAGTGCTACACATGATCGATCTTGTCAGGGGTAGGCGCACGGTCCTGCGGGGTGCCCATCCCTATCGTTTAGCGAAGCTTCTTGGCCCCAAGGACGATGTGGATGTCGGATGCCCAGGTCAGGTAGTTCTGGCCATGCAGGGCCAGTTTTGCGAACTCCTTGTTCGTGATTCCTGACATTCTGTTGCAAAGTGACAAAATATTCATAAGTTAATGCTAGTAACATGGTTGCAAATATGAATGCAAATATTTCATGATTTTCCAATATTTATATTCTTACGAAATGCAAATTGTTCAATAAAGAAATACTAGAGCTCATATAAATGCATACAAATATTCATATAAAGGGGAAAAAGGTTGCATATATTTATATAAATACTGAAAATAAAAAAATTCAAAATATCAATTAATAATAATTAATGGTTCATTAAATTCAAATTCAAATTTTATAATACATAAAAATGCTTAAATATGAAATATAGGCGAAATATGCAAGTACAGGGGCCCTTTACTAAGTTTCCATGCGGTGAAGGGATAAAAATGGAAGTTTCCGAAATTCTAGGGTCCTAGGCGCAAGGAATCTCCATGCTTATAGATATGCGCACATTTTCAGAAAATCTAAGGGCTTTCTGCAAAATCGCCAATTACTTTCCCCTTTTTTTTTTCTTTCCTCTTTTATTCTTCCACTTTCCTTCCTTTCCCCGTTGATTACGCGTGGTTGGCTGCCGACGATGAGCTCGCTGCGCGCGGCGGCCTACATGCGGCACGGCGGCGTGGCGGCACAGCAGCGTTTGCACTGCGTGTCGAGGCAGCGCGAGGAAGTGCGGTGGAGGCGCGATGGCCATGCTGGCGGCTCAGCGGATCGGTGCCACTGCCGTGCAAAGCGGCGCGGCCCGGTGAGACGCGGCGGCCGTGCGGCCGGCGCAGCAGCGGCGCGGTGGCCGTGCGAGCGACGTGGCAGCCATGGGCGCGCCTCGCCGGCGGCGTGCGGAGGCCATGAGGGGCGCGGCGCGTGTTAAATATGTTATCAATCAGTTTCGACCATCAATATTACTAAAATAGAGAAGAACTAGTGATGCTAGCAATGCATAAATATGTTAAAATAATAATATTTCACTAGTATTAGGTCTACTAACATTTTGCAGAGAATAACAATAAAGTGGAGGAGAATCGGCATCAACTCAAACGATAAGTGAATCGAACGATGTCGAGAATCAGACTTATGTATGAATGGGCCAAGAACTCAGAGTTGACACGTCAAACTAGGCCAAAATTCGCAAGTCTACATAAAGGAGCAACAGAGGAGGCCGCCAGCTGAAAGATGGGCTGGTTGGGCAAGCCCCTTGAACCTCCCTCGCCTCCGTTGGATTCAGGTTTTGGTTGGACGGTGGAGATGAAGCCCAAACGATAGTTGGAGGGTATTACCAACCATTCCAACCGTCACAACCGTCATAGTTCAGCTATAAAATGAGCTCCTCTTCTCACTTCACACACACCTCTAGCAAGAGTTTTCTCATTTCTCTCAAGTTTAGTTTAGTAGTATCTAGCTGGTGGAATAGGAATAGAGTAGAAATCAGGAGTCCAGAAGCCTTCGGAAGAGTTCGGGTATGGCTCTAGTAGCTTTCCTTTTCTCTTTTGTAAGCTTTGTACTTTTATTAGAATACTCTTCTATATACATTTATGGTATTGAAATACTTTCTGAGTATATGAGTACCTACTTTACTTTACATTATGTTCATGTTATACTGAATATATGGCTAGCTTATCTGGGAGATGCTTTGGTGCGGGTATAATGTTTGCTTATGTAATTACTCTATGTTATGACGATGATATTAGAGTAGTATCTTATAGTTTAGACGTGGTGTCTAGATTACGGGATATCATTATTTGGGGTTATATGTTGCGGATGAGAGGTGGGCCGCTGATGGTGACAGCTCAGTATGGGTATTCCTCCATGTCTGTATATAATCCTAAGTTAATTCCCTAGGGAGGGTATTCCTCCGTATTTAGCCCCGGTTGTATGGTCATGACGGGTTGTCGTAAGGAACTCGGTAGTCAGGGGTGGCTTCTCGAAGTATCAGGAGGGCATCAGATAGAGGGTATTAGCTAGTATATCGGTTAACTAGAATGAATGTATACTATGTATATTAGAAGTATAGGAATAGATTATCTTTCTCTTTTCTGTACACTTAGCTTAATAATATATTATGAGAATGAGTAAGCTAATGCTTGTGTGTCACTCTACCTTGGATTATCTTAACCCCTGCTTAGAATATGATTATCACAAGTAACATATAATCTATTAGTCAAATTCTCTCTACATGATCTTTCCACAGGATAAAATAAATACGATACCCTTGGAATACTCTCGGGTGAAATGCTATAATGATATATCCGTGCGCTTGCGGATGTACTCTGTAACCATAATATACCAGAAGTATTTCTGCGCCATTGCTGGGAATTATATTTCTAGTAATGACGTTAAGAAATACCAACAACGCGCATGGGCGGTGTGTGAACGCGGCTCGGCTAGGGGCGTGCGGTGGTTGTGCAGGTGGTGTGGCTTGGCGACATTGCCGTCGCGGTGCAAGTGGCGCAACCGGCGTCGCGTGCGGGCGAGGCGGCTTGGCCGGTGGCCGGCGCTTTCTAGCGGCCGATGCAGCCATGTAGGTGAGGCCGTCGCCTAGCAGGTGCAGCTGATACCAAGTGCAGTCGGCGCGTGATGTGACCATGGCTACTACGGATACAACCGTTGCTCACATCATGGATGAACAAGAAGATATGAATATAAGATATGAACATCAAGTCCTCCAAGTGCTGAAATTCGAATCGGTCACCTACTACACTGCTGACTTCAAACGGCTGCCGAATCTGTATACGACCTCCGTTTTCGGTCCGTGAGTACTTCATGAAAAGCTCTCGAAGTTCTCTTTCCAAAGGATCTAGCCCTATTGCCAAATTCCACCTCAATTGGCCACAATCAAAGAAAAAAGTGTTGTGTCACCAATAGTAGGTCTATGGGCATGTAACTTCATCTGTGACCCCGGGCCAAGTGGAGCCCATGTGGGGTGCACCCCAATCTGGTGGAGCACGACCCTAGGGCCTCCTTGGTCGTCCTCCCATCTCTATAAATAGCTAGGTACCCCTTCAGGGTTTCTCGGGTTTGTTAGATTAAAGTTTAGCCATTGTTACTTGCGCGCGTGTCGGCTAGACCGTCTGTCTACTTGTTCTTCGGAACCCCAACTTATCATTTGTATTCAATTCCTATCTGTAATTCAGATTGTTTTTATCTTGTTCTTGCTTGTTTCTTCGATTTGCTTGCAGGAATAAGGTTGATCTGCATCGGCAAGATCAACAACCCACGGAGAGGTGTATCGATCGCTAAGACGCAACACAAGAACATCTAGTATGGTTGTAGTCGGGTTGTTAACGTTTCTCCCAAATCGTAGTTATCTACAACTCACCGAAAGATCGGGCCAACAACAACCTTAAGTGTCTCGCGTGGAGCTTAGGGTTCATCAGCGTAGGCGTGTGTCATGTCGTAGCGAACGACGCGTTTGGTCGGTGCGCGGCACGACGGTCGTTCAAGCCGTGGTCAGCGCGGCACGATGCCGTGCTGTGGTCATGCAGGGCGTTGGTAGCCGACGCGATGCACAACATGGCGCAACCGGTGGCCGGTGGTGGAACTCCGACAATTGGCATTAGCCGGCAACTCCCAGTCGGCGGTGACGGAATCTATTGAGAACCACAAAAACGGAACGAGTAGGATGCAATGAATTCGTTTTTGTAATTCAATCTACAAAATGCAAAGTGGATTTTTGAGTTTCTTACCCTTCCTCTACCTTGTTAGAATTATACAACCGCTGCTACAGAGTAGTTCAATGGGGTTGTATAATTCTAAGAAAAAGTGGAGACACAAAGTTTAGGGGTGAGACTCATTTTCTTATTCCAATCCTTTCATCAGGTGTAGAAATAAGTAGACCCCTCCTCTCTTTACATAGTGCAATCCCAAATATAAAAGGTTTGCTGATGGTCAAAATAAGTAGTATATTTGGGCTAGGCCTTCATGGGTCAATCCCAAAGTTTCTCAACATATTTTAATTAAAAAGAGAATCTCACCTTTAAATTTTGTAGATCCAGTTTATTCTATACATTATGCAACCCTGTTAGACTACTCTACAATAGGGGTGGCATAATACACCTCTCCTGACGCCATTGCTATTGCGAATGTGAGGAAAAATTTAGTATTCCATTAAAAAGTTTTTTTCATATTAAAAAAGAAAAAGGAAATCCTAAAATCACAGAGCATCGGCTGAGGACTTGTGTGTGTGAGATTTGACGAGCCGCGCCCACGCAAGCAAAACAAGGAAGCCTCGTCTCATCAGATCTAAAAGCTGTGTCAGCTGCAGTTTGTTCGGTTCGGGCTGTGCAAGGAAGCCAAGAACCAACTATGGCGGGCGACGGGCTTCCCCGGATCGCGGTGGTCGGCGCCGGCATCTTCGCGCGCACCCAGTACATCCCAAGGCTCCGCGAGATCGCCCACCTCGTCCTCCTCAAGACCATCTGGAGCCGCACCAAGGTCAGCCACACACAGATCATCCACCGAACTCCGCTCTCCTGTCGGTCGCTGGACCTCACCATTCCGTTGCAGGAATCCGCGGAGGCCGCCGCGGAGCTCGCCCGGGACTTCGCGCCCGAGATCCAGCCCAGATGGGGCGACGCGGGCCTGGAGGAGATTATGGGAGACGCTTCCATCTCCGCCGTCGCCGTCGTTCTTGCTGGCCAAGTGCAGGTCCGGGGTCCTCCAACAATTCATTCCCCATGGATTCACATTCACTTTGCTTGCTGCCTTCATTTCATAGCTACATTACGAGTTAGCTATGCATAGTTTGATCCTACATATGGACTAGCTTTTCTTTCATGGGTGATTTCAGATGAAACCGTATTGCTTTTGGTTCTGAATGCAAGCTGTTAAGCAAGGTCAATTGATCATACATTGAGATTGAGTTATCACTTATTAGCATGCCAAGGAAGAAAAGAGAATGTGCACAAGCTTTGCTATGTTTCCAGCTACTGTACTATATCCCTTTTCAGCAGTTTACCAATTACTTCAGAAGAGCTCGGACTGAAAAGAAAGAAACATGATCTACTAGTATATATCACTAATTTGACTGAAGAAAGAAGTATAATATATTTATAACACAAATGTACCTAAAAAGAAGAGACTGTCTTTATAAGAGTTCCAAGTCTTCAGGTTCAATCGAATAATTGAACCTTGTAGCCTTTGAGTTACTAGCCGTTGTGTCAAACTGTTGTTGAGTTTATGTCTTTGCCATTTACTCCAGATCACCATTATAAGACAAGAGTTGCCATGCATTATGTTCATGACCCTCACATAGTCACTTGTACATGCACTTCAATTTTATTTTCGCTGATTGTTTTCCTTTTAACAACCCATAGTTCAGTGTTTCACCAAATGTTAGGTTGTCTTAACTATTTTGACATCTATGATTATGCTTCTAGAAAATTACATTTACTCTATGCACAGGAATTTCTCACAAGTTGTTTGAAATATGCAGGTTGACCTCTCCTTAAAAATGCTCAAGGCAGGAAAGCATGTGATACAAGGTAAAACAAAATATATCTTGACATTCTGATTTGGGCTAGAGGACTTGTACACAAAATAAATAGGAGTTCCTTCTCTTAGACAAGTTTTTGTTTCTTTAAATTTTCTAATTCGCTGTCGCATGTTTGCATAATATGTTCGTCTTGTGGCTCGAAGAGAAACCTGCTTCTGGATGTAAGTACTTCAATTTGTTTGTTTCCGAATCTTGTACAAGAATAGTAAAAATTCACTCAATATATATGTGACCATCTTTCTCGTAAAACTTCAGCAACAATGGAAGCAGAAACAGCATTGTCAGTTTACAATTCATTTCCAAACCAATTCCCATACAAACCAATTTGGGCTCTGGCAGAAAACTACAGATTTGAACCTGCATTTGTGGAGGTACACATTTTCAATCTTATAATTTGTTTTTTTTTTCTTGCTAGATTACATTGGTAATCTCAAGACTCTTATCTTCAGTCAAGGAAGTTGATGAGTGATATTGGTGATATGATGAACATCCAAGTTATTGTTGAAGGGTCAATGAATAGTTCAAATCCATACTTTAATAGCTCCTGGAGAAGAAATTTTGTGGTAAGAATCAAGTAGTGAGCTACTGTTTTCCTGTCTCTTACGTGCTTTATCTGCATGTTTTCATACTATGCCCATCACTTCGCTTCAAAACTTGATGCTACAGCTCAGTTCTATTACTAAATACTAATAGTTACAAATGGTTTAAGTTTAAACTTACCAAATAGCACATATGGGTAATGTATAGTTCTTTGGGTACTAATTAGCTACTAGGTTTACTAAATATTAATCTTTTGGATTTCCATACCAAAACTCTAGTTCTTATGCGCATCTTGTCAATAATGTTTTTTTTATCCTAAGGAAATTAATTCAATATTTTAATCAGTTGGTTGGTGCTTTATCATTGTCAATTGACCAATTTATATTTCTTGTCAACAATTTTTTTAAAATATTCTGTACCTTCCCAAAAGTTTGCCTTGTTTTTTTTTTTAGATAGATAATTCAAACACATGAGGTATTGCTCTAGCATACATTTGTTATATCAACTTTTGGATATTTAATTTCACTTCAAACTGCAATTTCATGTCCAATGATTGCAATAAGGTCATTCAGCTTTTGCAGTTGTGAAGTATTCAAATTTCAAGCATTTACAGTTGTCCTTGGCAACTACGTTTCGGTCAACTTCTTTTTATTTATTTATGCAAATGAGTAGTCACTGCAAAGTGCAAATTAATGACTTGGCCTTTTTTATTATTATTTTACAAAGATTAGAATGTAACGGACTTGAGATGTGTGCTGTTTCTCCTTATTCTGATAACTTGGCATTGCAGGGTGGCTTTATACTGGATATGGGTGTGCATTTCATAGCAGGACTAAGAATGGTATGTTAATCATGTTATATTGGGATTAATGGACCAGCTTATGGCTTATATTAATGTCTGCAACACTGTGGAGTTAATAAGTATTATTATATTTTGAGGATTTGACACTCTACAATCTACACCAACATAGGATTAGAGGAAATATAATGTTAGAAATACACAACTGTTTCTACGAATATAGGTTAAATTAGCTCAAATTTTGCTAGTAAAGTGCACCATCTAGACATGTGAAGACTAGTAATTCATGCATACAAGTGTCTTGCCAAGCCATCTACTTATGAAGTTGACATTTTAGTTTACTTACAGCCAAAAGATTTAAAATCTAGGATCCTGGCTGTGCTAGCTATCAATTGTAATGTTTTTCGAACAGATGGTTTTAGGCTTAAAACAGGGATATCTGGACTGCACTGAGTTTCTCAGTTTTCTGTGACTTTATTTGATTTTTTTTTAAAAAAAACAATGCATGAATGATTACTAGGTGAAACAGTTGAAAGATAGCACAGAAACAAGATATGAATAGTTAGAACTAAAGTGCTACAGCCATTTAATGCTGTTTTTTTTAGTAAATCGCTGGTTAAGATCATGAATGTGCCCATCTGTTTTTCGTTCCATACTTTTTTAAGATGATGAGCCCTTCTGTAACAGATGGTTGGTTCAGAAATAGCAACTGTATCGTCTATCTCCCGTCATGTGGATAAGGCTTTACCACCACCTGATAACATATGTTCTCTTTTGTAAGTTTCTTAATACTAAGTGGATTTTGTATTGGAAAGTTTTCAGATCTTACAGAATTTTGATGTGTTGATGCAGCCAGCTAGAAAATGGATGCGCTGGGGTCTTTGTGTTTGCAGTCAACTCGAGAACACCCAAGGTTAACTTAAATATTGTTTGAAAAGTTCTATTGCAAACATATAATGCTATTATCTTCAATTTCTACGGCATGAAGTTAACAAAATAATATTTTTCTCCTCTCAGTTTTTGGTCTTGTTTTGATGTTTATAGATATTATGGCGGGTGGATGGAACTAGAGGAACAGTGCAAATAGAACGTGGAATTGCTAGTGGGAAGCATGGGTACCAGGTAAAACCTCCTTTTCTAAAGTCAACAATTTATTATTGCTTATAAGCAATATTAATGCATTGGTTTTTTTTTAAAATAATTATATCTGTTCAAGCAAAGGTGTTCCTGAAGCACAAATGAACATCTTAAGTATGAACCATTTATGCGTTTCAGGTTTTATTCACCAATGAAAATGGGCAGTGCCAGACGACATTTTATCCATTCTGTGGCGTGAATGAAGAACTGAAGGCTTTTGTTCATGACATTGTGCAGGCAAACAAAGTATTATTATTAATTCTGATAAATTTCAATTTTTATTTCTTCTTCGATGCATCATGGAACAATGATTTAGATATCTTGGGATTTCCTTTGAGAACATATTATGATACCATATAGTCAACTTGCTCATGGGATGTTCTTCCATTTAGATCCGTAGTCCAGGCTTCAGAGAGTTGCCATTGTGTGACTTGCTTCTTAAAACATATAATAGTCCTGAATAATTTTACAGTACATCCGTCGAACATCTATAACATTTTCTCAGATGCAATTTATATTAAAACCACCAAAATGTTAAATAATCAGCGCATCTTCTTTGAATCCCATCCGATTATTAAAATATGATAGGATTTTGGTGCACTCCTGCTGACTCGCTGTTACTGCTTGGTCGTGCAGGATGGGGATCACAAGGCTGAACCCCGCAGTTCTTATGTTGAAGGCGCACGGGATGTCGCCGTTCTAGAAGCCATGCTTGAATCTAGTGCGAAGCAAGGAACCATGGTCCAAGTGAAGAAATTCTAACATCCATAAAATTGTTCAAAAAAAGAGAGGGAAATATATTCTTCAGCAAGTTGGTACGCCAATTATGTAGCTTTACTAATAAGGAACATTTTTTCCAAGTTCATACATACCATTGAGAGTACAGCGTGCAAATAGCAGTGTTTCCAGAGAACCAACTTTCTTTGACTCCATACATATTTGTTGGCTTGTTGCCATTGATAAATTGATTATTACACACCGAAACAATGCACTTCGGCTTGTTCTGCACAGTCAAGTTGCCATCCCATGCGAAAATCAGTCTTTCAGGTTATAAGCCACATTGAAATTTTGAAATAAAACTTAATTTTGAAGTTGAATTTGATTTATTTTTTCAACATAGTTTATTTTCCAACATTCGCTTTTAAACTGCTAATATCACCTACATGAAAGTGTTATTGATAAATTATTTTTTAGTTGCTAATAAGCCATCATATAATTAGCGCATAAGCGAAACGATGACTTTGAGCTACCAGCTTGATGGCCCCCGGTCGTAATAATAATCTCCTGGTTTAGCAAAAGGCAATATCGGTAAGCTTTGTTTTGTACACATGGGCCGGAGGGAGGTCAGTGAAGGTTAGTAAGCCCGGAAGTTGATGAGCCCAATCCACGAGATGGATAAACTTGCGTGGCTCTGTTCGTCGCAGTCGTACATAGTGGTTTATTATTAATTATTGTTATATATCTCCGTTCAAAAATATAAGAGACTTTACTTATAGAATTAAAACATGTTTGATAGAACTCTAGCTCTAGTGAAAAGGCATGTAGCCTAGTGGTTGCAGTGACCTGAGTAGCACCTCAAGGTTTTGAGTTCAAATTTCTATAGGAGCGAATTTCAGATTAGGTTATTTGAAGGCTAAGTTCCCTATTTGATAGACTAAGTTCCTAAATTAAAATGGCTGTATATATCCGATTGGATATAGAGACCGACCGGGTAAAAAATACCCTTATCTAAAAAAAGATCCTAGCTTCTCTAAAAAAAGATCCTTGCTCCAAACTTTAGTTTCAATGGGAGCTATCTCTTTTAGGAGCTGAGGTGCTTTTCAAAGTGTTTGATGCTTTAAAAATCCTGAAAGAGAGGATAGGAGAGAGAGGTGGACAATACTACCCTGGTCGTTTTTATGTTTATTTGATGTAGAATTAATAGTCGTTATTTTTCCTTAATGATTTGAACATTATACGTATGGAAGGTTAAAATTAAGTTAAAATAATTGGTAATTAAAAGATTGATAAAGTTTAAGTTGTCTCATGACATATATGAATAATACAAATGTTTAGGAATAATAACTAGTAGCATTGCCATAAATGTATTATACTATGGTATAGGTGTAATACGACCGGCTGGTCATCATGAAATGCATCTATAGATATATCACTTTGACTCTCGGTGGATGTATCTGATGCATCTTGAGAAAGGACATGCCTCCTAAATCTAGATGGAATGATAGACACATAATCTGGATTCCTTTCAAACACATGAAAATATCTATCTGGCACATTATAAATGAAATTATGCAATACCAATGTTGCTGCCACAACCATTTTTTGTTTCCACATTTGAAAGCTATGCATTTTGTGGAGAACTTGTCACTTTATCTTTCATACACCAAAGCATTTCTCAATGATAGTGCGCAAACTCAAGTGTAAGAAATTGAATTTTTCCTTCTCCCCACTTGGTGCTAAATCTCTTCGAAATTCCGAGACATGGTATCTTTGTCCCTTGTATGATACGAAATACCCAGGACGATTTGGATAGTCAACATCGATAGGATTATTGGTAGCTGTTGATATGGTTCCATGCCCTAAAGATCAATGATTAGCATCGGTATTGTGAATGTCTTCAAACATCTTCTCAAGTAACTCCTCATTTTGCAAGCCGACCTTCATAAATTTGGTACAACCTGCTATGTCCTACATGACATAACATTATAAAATAAGTTAGAACACTTCTTTTGGTTTGCATTTGTTTAATTTAACACCATATGAATAAAAACTTACTGATTTTAGTTGTTTCCAACGTGCAGCAATAGTTGTGACTGCTTTCCTTGCATCATCCAATCCCAAACCTGTTTGAGATTTCAATTTTTTTCAACAATTGTACTCGATCCTAAATTTATCCTATTTGTCCTTAATTTGAAGCCTAGTGTATCTCAGCCCTATCCTTGAGGCAAATCGCTCAATGACTTCATCATAACCCAGAATTGGATAAATGAGTATTTGGACGATTACCTGTAGCTACTTGATCAGCAAAAATGTCACACACAACTCTAGTGTTGTAGTCATTCCAATAAGAAGAATCAATGGGTATTTTAACACCCTTCGATGGCACATTTTGAGCCATGCCTGCCATCCACTCACACCATAGTTTACAAAATTCAGATAAAGGTTCAGAGTGCACTAATGTAATTTCACATGGTCTATTAAAGGCAACTTAGAGTAGACTTGATTAGTCAGGCTGACTTATACGTATACCCAATAGACCCATACAGATGCATACTACATATAAATATATACCTATATAATTTTTGGCCAAATTATATACGAAAGAACACTGAAATGACCGTCTTTTTCTCTGAATACAAGTATATGCATGAATCAATCAGAAATAATCCATGGTGCATACAAATCCTAAAGAAACATGCTTTTACATTGTGTGCAGATACATTGGTATTAGTACTTCGCATGGTACATCACAGATCTAGTAATTTCACTCTTGTTCATTGCATAATACCAAAGTAATCAACTCTAAAAAAATAATTCATCCCACAGGGATCATGCACATTTCAAGCCAAGAGTTGGGGGGGACTTATAGAGTTTGAGGAGGGGATATCGTATGGGACTGGGGGGTGGTGGGGCCTAAATTCCTCGCGCCTCCACTGCCGTGCACCTCCCCCCGCGTCTGCAGCAAGGGTCACTTCCATCAAGAAGGATAGGAGAGAGAAGAGACAGGAGGGGGAACCTGCTCGCCACCTCCACCGATGCGCTGTCACCGCCGGTGCACCGCCGTCTCCAGTGCGCCGCCTCCCCTCGTGCTTTTTAACTGGAACCACGCACTCCTCTTCACTTACGCATGAGACAGTGACGAGGCGAAGGGATACAGGGAGTGGGGAGGCGGAGGGATGGAGGGGGTAGTTGGATGGCATTTGCGAGCAATTTTGGTTCAAGTGTGGGGCTATTTCTGAAATCCTATTGGAGTTAGAGTTGTGGAGCGATCGGAATGCCGCTCCACACCGCTAGTTCATTTTTGTGCAGCATCTGGCTTGCTCCGCTCCATTTTTTTTTTTGGAGCTGGACCGTTTGGTTAGGCTCCAGCTTGATTTGAGGTGAATCTAGAAGTTAGAGCTACATCAAATAGGCCCTTATATGGACAAAATCCTTTAGAGATACCTGCGTGGCTGCATGGCTCGGTTCCATGGTAGCAGCTCTGGGTCTTAGGATGTACCACCTAGAATATTTGCTTTACTCCACTGTAGGTCCTAAAATTCGGGTTCTGTGTGTGCTAGTTGGTTTCATCCTACAACCAACAAGATAATCAAGGCAAATGTAGATGACGATGGCCAAACGACTAAAAAGCCGATTAAAAATCGTACCGTTCAGCCGATGCCTAAAGAATTGGCTATACCCAAAAAGAGTATAATGTATACTATGCATTGACAAGATTTATATTGAATATAATTGTAAATAAACTTCCTTTAGTAAAATCAATCGTCGAACCAAATCGATGTAGCATAAACTTCCTTTAATAAAATCAATCTTGATAGGTCGAACCAAATCGATGCAGCATAGGATTGATAATAATAAAGTCAATGATTGTACAATTATACGATCTAAATGACTAGTTGATGTACAAGATAATATGAACAAAACCAAGATAACAATGATCGGCTGAAAGGTAAAATATCATGCATTTGTTAACTCAATCTATCTCTAGTACAAGCGACCACAATAGATCGGACCTAACCGAGACAATATCAGCTGTTGGTAACAAAGATCAGATAAATTAATAATTATATGATTTAAACAATAGCCGATAAAGTTACTTAAGTTGATTGGTTACAAAGCTTGTAATTTTGTATTGAGTTCTTGTTTTTTCCTTTGTAAATAACTCTCTATTCTTTATAAAAATTACACTACTGGGCTTAACCTGGTGATATTCCCTTTCAAAAAAGTTACTTAAGTTATAGGTAAATAATGTATCGGCTATAGCTCCGTTACAACCCTATTTAAAAATATCAAATTTAATCAAATCTATTAAACAAATCATGTTCTTAGCAGATCAGACCCAACCGAGGCAGTGCAAAACCGATAACAAGCTTAATAGATTTAAATGTATAATACAATTAAATAAGTTAATAGATATAATGGAACAAGTAAAGACAAACATGCAATCTTACACTAAGAATTGTTATATTAGGTAAGATCTGCTGAAACTCCAATGCAATCTTAAACTAAGAACAGTTATATAAGGTACCCAACCCCTATCGGCAATTATAGAGCAAGTTAGTTCTTACAATTTTAACTTAGTAGATCAAACCTAACTAATGTAGACCAAGTTAAAATTAAATTTGATAGATCTAATCGAGTCGATAATTGTTATTTAGGGTAGTGGATACACCAATCAATCTAAGATAACAAACTTGTTTAACCAGTATCGGCCTAATCAAAGTGCATCGGTTGATAAGAATAAACAATGCTGTTAACTTATATTAAATAATATATATGATAAATAACGCTTGCACTGGCTAGGATAAAGTATCGGGCCCAACCGAGGAAGCCTTAACCCCATTGGTGCAAGTGATAAAGACAGAACTCACCTCATCGTCGGAGAACGAACACAATCGACGCAGCCTAACTCGAAAATAAGAACTCGCCGAGATAAACTAGGGTGGCGATATGTTGAAAATTGTATTATTGAACTCTTATTTGTTTTACAAACACCATGGGTGTACATATTTATATCCATAGGTAAAACTAAGTCTGACTCTATTATGATCAGATCAAACTAAAACTCTATCTATAATTTAAGGAAACTATTATAGACTCGGACTTTTATACAACTTGTATCAACAAAACATTACCAAAATATATCTGAGTCTGATTCTAACACGACTCCATCGGCCCAGGACTTTATTATTATGACACACTTTCCTTATCCCACAAACTTAGCCAAATCTTGAACAAAATCCA